ATGGGTGGGAGGGGGAGATGGGTGGGAGGGGGAGGAAGTGGAGGGGATGCCCGTGCGGGGATGCAGGGAGAGGGGAGGGAGGGAGTGGTGGGTTTGGGGGCTTGGGCTGCTGAGGCGGAGTGGGGGGCAGTCAAGTCCCTTTGCTCGCTCGCTCTCTCCTCTCTCCTTCACTCTCTCTCATTCTGTCTTTCTGTTTCGCCTTCTCTTCCTCTGTCTCTCTTATTCACTCTTTCTCATTCTCTGTCTCTCTGTCTCTGTCTCTCTCTCTCTTATTCTCTCTCTTATTCCCCCTCTCTTTCATTCTTTCTCTTTCTCATTCTCTCACTCTCTTTCATTCTCTCACTCTCTTTCATTCTCTCACTCTCTTTCATTCTCTCTCTCATTCTCCCCCCCTCTGTCTCTCTCTCTCATTCTTTCTCATTCTCTCATTCTCTAACTCTTTCTCATTATCTCTCTACCTCTCATTCTCTCCCTCTCCCCCTGTCTCTTTCATTCTTTCTCGTTCTCTCTCATTCTCTCACTCTCTTTCATTCTCCCTCTCATTCTCTTACTCTCTTTCTCATTCTCTCTCTCATTCTCCCCCTCTCCCCCTCCTTGTCTCTTTCATTCTTTCTCATTCTCTCATTCTCTAACTCTTTCTCATTATCTCTCTCTCTCATTCTCTCTCTTATTCTCCCCCTCTCCATCTCTCTGTCTCTCTCTCTTTCATTCTTTCTCATTCTCTTACTCTCTTTCATTCTCTCTCATTCTCTCTGTTTCTCATTCTCTCTCTCTCTCATTCTCCCACTCTCTCTTTCATTCTTTCTCATTCTCTCACTCTTTCATTCTCTCATTTTCTCTTTCTCATTCTAACTCATTCTCTCACTCTCTTTCATTCTCACTCATTCTCTCTCTCATTCTCTCTCATTCACTCTCCCCCTCTCATCCGTTCTCATTCTTTCATTCTATCATTCTCTTTCTCGTTCTCTCCCCCTCTCTGTCTTTCTCTTTCATTCTCTCTGTCTTTCTCATTTTCACTCATTCTCTCCCTCTCTCATTCTCTCGTTCTCTTTCATTCTCATTCACTCTCCCCCTCTCATTGTATCTCTCTTTCTCATTCTATGATTCTTTCTTATGTCATTCACATTCTCACCTCTCCCTTCCTCCCTCCGTTTGTCTCATTCTTTCTCTCATTCTCTCTCTCTCACCCCAGCTGGACCCCCATGTGGATGCAGACATGCAATCGTTCTCTGATGGTGTTTTTCTCCCCTCCCCCCCCAGGTGTTGACCTAGAAGACTCTGGGAAAGAGGGCGGCAGCAGTGGCCGAGAGGTGATGAGGCTTAATAAAGAAGGTAAGGGGAGGGGGCTAAGGGGGCGGGAGCGGCCTCTTTCTCTTTTTGGGATGTGGGTTTGAAGGTTTCCTTCCCAAGCCAGGTTCCTCCTGCCTCAAAGCCACATGGGTTGTTTGGTAGACATAACCCTGAAGAGGTCTGGGCTTGGTCTTTATACAGATGGCTCTCTTGCCCGGTGAGCATTTCACATGTCAGATATTGTCAAGTCCGTGAGCGAAGTGGCTTTCTTCTGGTTGGCATCTTGTGGTTACTTTTGGACAAGTGTCCATTTGTGGAAGGAAACAATCATTTACCTCATTCCAAATCTGTTAGCTCCCATTACAGCTCCACCATCACAGTAGCCTGTTCCTTGACTTTGTTTTAGTTTTTCTGAAGATAGTGATCATCACCAGATTTTTGGACCCATCTGCATTTTGGGAGCTTCCGTTTTTTCTAGCGATGGACCATCTGATCGCAGGAAGATACCTATGGTTCCACCACAAAACCGCATTCGACTAAAGCGCGCTCGACGAAACCGCGTACCTGACGTCATCACAGCGTGACGAAAAAAGCACGCTGTGAGCGCTAAAGCTAAAATTAACCCCTAAACCTAAACCTAACCCCCCGAAACCTAACCCCCCGAAACCTAACTCTAAACCTAACCCTAAACCTAACCCTAAACCTAACCCTTAACCTAACCCTAAACCTAACGCTAACCCTTAACCTAACCCTAAACTTAACCTAACCCTAAACCTAACCCTTAACCTAACCCTAAACCTAACCCTAACCCTAACCCTAACCCTTAACCTAACCCTAAACCTAACCCTTAACCTAACGCTAAACCTAACCCTAA